GCTTCTTCTGCCTTTGTTTCTCCAGCGCTCGCCGATGTCTTCAGCTCAACACATCGCCGATCGAAGGGGGGATGTGTAGGGTATCAGACCGAATCAGACAATTTAAGATTTGATCAAGAACATAGTTGAAACACGAGGAGCCAAATTCCACAGATGCCCAAGACACAGGATGTTCGTAAATCAGATCCTGGCGACACAAGCCTGAACCAACTAGCAGCTTTGAGTAGCTCACAGCATTTAAACAAAAGAACACTTATTGACAATTCCAAGGGGAGTGTCAATTTTGGGGGCAAGTAATCAAGATTAAATGGTCAAAGAGATGCACAGCATGACCATCACATTTGAACCAGTGATAGTAATCACGGTCACAAGCTCTTTGGCTTTACTTTTCCCCCCACCTCGACGACAAAGAACAGACTGAGATTCCTTACAGACCTTTTAACCTCTGGTCTTCACAGAACATGTCCTCATCCACAGAATGGAAGAGAAACTGCCTTTCCATGCACCTAAATGACACTAAAAGGACTTGTGAGCAACTAATCATTTAGTAATGATTAATTACTAATTAATACATAATGCTTTTTTTTAGCTTTTGAGTGTGCTCTGGCTTACACACCAGCTCCTCAAAAACCATGAGGATAAACGCCACCTAGTCTCGTCAAACTTTACTTCTGTTTCTTTAATTTAGTTTCTTTTCTTTTCCGTTGAGAGTTTCGTGTTCCGAGTTAAGTTCTGCCTAACGCCGTGTCTCCGAGTCTGACCTCGAGTGCCATCTAAAACTTCAACTTCAACCACAACTACGCGTAATCAGCCAACGCCCAACCACTGGCTTCCCAAGACTGAACTTCCAGCCAATCAGCAACCGCTGGAAACCCCCTTTTCTGCAAGGACTACAGCAAAGGGAACCCCGGACAAAGCACCTTGAAATATCAGTTTAATGATTGCATGGCTTCTGTTTCTTTCTCGCGCTCCCCTCCATACATCTGTTCTGGGAGTAAGTTTGGTGACCGGGTACGAAATTCCGCAAAAAATGTGCGAGACTTCCAGTTCATTAGCCGCTGTGGGGAAATAAGGAGAAGAATAACAAGTGCAGTAAATGGTAAAACTGTTTGCACTACAAACCAGTGTGTTCATAATTAAGATAATACATTAAAATAATATGGTAAGACACACCAGTTTGCAATATCAAGGAATTAAATAGCTAAAAATAGCTTGAAGCTAATGACACCAGAATCAAGACACTACAAATGGCCACGCCTGCTCTTACGCAAAAAATAAGGTGCATAGAAATTAATGGTAAGTCCTGCGAAACTGAACTCTACCTGTTGCAAAATTATCCGTGACTTTTTATAAAACAGCATTTTTCAGTGTAAAGTCTAAAAATAGATTCATTCAAAACGTTTAATGGCAAACATGTAGACAGGGCCGTTTCTAGGCATAGGCGAGCTAGGCGGTCGCCTAGGGGACCACAAGCTGAAGGGGCGCCAATGAGCGCACGTACTGGCACTTTTAGCAGGGTTGTGATAAAGAGTGGATATTACAGATACTAAATTGTGCAAAATGTTTATCTTAACAGTCAATTTACAAATAATGCATTCAGATTTGTGGAACTCAATGCACTGAATCTCCACAAATTAGTGTCGTTACTATGACAACTAATTTGAATGTGACAAGCAACTGGTGTCTGAAAAGAATTATATATTTATAATAAAAAAAATATAAAAATTTATATAATTATATATAGAAATATATAATGGGGGGGGGCAATAGGGATTTCGCCTAGGGCGTCAAATTGGCTAGAAACAGCCCTGCATGTAGAAGATTGTCAATTCATTAAATGCTGTTTTCCCATAAAAGCAGTTTATTCAGTGTAGTGAAGCCTGTCTTCTATTGACATCCATTCAAAAATAGCTTCTGGTCTCCTTCCCGGTACAGGAGACTTGCCTTAACCTCTTAACTGTCACCCATCCCCTCTGTGGTTTACTTCACTATATTACAATTAAATTCTGACCTTTGAAATCATCAGAAATTATATATCAATTAAAAACTTAAAATCTCAAAATTCATCCTTTGAAAACCATTTTAAAATCAGACATTGCTTTCCCATGAAAATGGTACATCGAAATCATGTTACACAATTTATTCAGTCATGAATAATAAATGTAAGTTTGGATAGTGCACTTTCACGTCTATGTTCAAAAATGTGAGTGACAGTTAAGGGGGTTAAAGAAGCTTTGGTACAGCGATCCACTGTAATTACGACAGTGATATAGCCTATTTACTACAGTTAATTCCACAATTAATACAACTGTAGGGGGCTCCAAAGTCACAAAACTGCATGCAGTTGGTGTAAATGAGTTAAGAAAGAGAACATAAATCACAGTTGTTACCTTGAAGTTGCCAAACAGGACATGAAAGTATGTATGTATATAAAAAGTATGTATGTAACAGTATGTTCTTTTGTGTAGACTACACATTTTAGCAAATGTAGTAGGTATTTCATGCATAGAGAATTGGCATATTATGCACAGTGTACAGTACATATGGCAGCAATAGTAGTAGTATGACGATATGCTAAACAAAACCTGTATTCATTTCAAAAGACAAAAAGTAATGGATAAAATCATGTAGTTTTACAGGCTACTTACCAAATAATTTAGATGTAGAGCTTTAAAAAAATAAAAAATAATAAAAAAGGAGGTCATTACCTTGAAGTTGGTTTAATAATTTAAGGCAAGACATTGTTATACCATTTTTCTTGCACTGTTCAATTTTGAGACTTTGGATTATTTGGCTTTTCATAACATGTTGTTACAGAAAACATCCAAAATACACTTTTGTGTATTGTACTTTTGTGTAAAATACACTTTTGTGTATTTTATTGCAATGCACTGTTCAATTTTGAGACTTTGGATTATTTGGCTTTTCATAACATGTTGTTACAGAAAACATCCAAAATACACTTTTGTGTATTGTACTTTTGTGTAAAATACACTTTTGTGTACTGTACTTTTGTGTAAAATACACTTTTGTGTATTTTATTGCATTTGATCTATTTGCCTGTAGATTTAAATTATAACACATTTCTTTAAACGTTTTTTTCCCCCTCAAAATTAGTTTCTCTCATCTTCATTAGCACATACTGTACTTACATCAAACTTTATAGTTTTATTCCAATCTATATTCTGAATATTTTTACAGAAGGTTTTTTTATGCATAATTTGCCTGATTTTATACATTTTATTCCTAAAATTATTCTTTCTTTTTCTTCCTGACATTTGACATTATTTTCTGATTTATGGAGCGAAAAAGTGATCCAAAACCCCCTCTGTGATATATATATATATATATATATATATATATATATATATATAGATAGATAGATATGATAAAAAGCAGCAAGAATTTTGACAATAACCGTGGAACACACACTATTTATTCACTCATACACACTTATTTATCTAACACTCATACTTCAGCCTACACCTCAAATTTGCACATAATATACAGTACCTGTACATACAAAAAAAAACTGTCTATTGTAATATACCTGCACACACAATTGCCAATTTATATATTTTTATTCCTTATTTACTTGTTCTATTTTTATTTTTTATTATCTGTGTTTTTGTTCTGTCACTGTCATTCTGTTACACTGTGGAAGCTTCTGTCACGAAAACAAATTCCTCATATGTGTAAACATACCTGGCAATAAAACTCATTCTGATTCTGATTTTGAACTTGTCTTTACATTTCTGCTCTGGAAAATTATGCATATTAAATTTAAGAAATTTGTACTACAAAAAAAAAAATGTTTTACCCTGTTCACCTGTGTTGTCTTGCCTTAGAGGTATGAATTCATTTCTATTGGACATGTTCCTTAGCCTAATCATATGAATACATAAAATATAAAGCACTAAAAGTAATGCACACAGTGCTGAGCAATACAAATGTGTGATACCTGAGCTGTGACATTAAGGACGAGCTTAAGGAAATAAAAAGTGACCAGAGACTTTTGATGATGCTAAAGCCTCCTGATTAGAAGCCAACATCAGTCGATGCATGACTCGGCAACACTAGCCGGTATTGGCTGCCACACTGTGACCTATATCAAAGTAAAAGAGACTTGTAGACACCATGCTCTCAACAGCAGAGTTGCAGAATTAATTGCATTTTAATGAACACTGAGGCAACCTTCCAGGTATTTGAAATAAAATGGAAATGTACAGTCAAATGAGAAAGAAATTACAATGTTTCTCCCGTTAGTGTCCGATTCTGAAGGCGTTTGTGTTAATTTATCTTCCCACGAAGAAGCCATAAGCACAAACTGCATGTGACGCTCACCTTCTTTCTGTATTTAAGACATAAATTACAAATATGATCACCTCAATAAAAAATACTTCTCGTCTCCTCGTTGCTAGCACATTCCCTGCGTTTCTGTGGAGGGCCCTGTTGAATTGCATCCATTAAGAGAGAGTATTTTAACATGTACAGCCATGGTAATGACACACAGCTCTTTACAAATGAAACAGCCTGTCTTATTCAAAATGAAGAATAATGAAATATCACAAACAATGGAAACTGTATTTAAGAAATGCAGCAAATGGTTTTGGAAACGGATGCTAATGGTCATCTTTCAGAAGCGTAATTACTGGGTAGCATCAGGACGACTCATTTTAAGGCGTGCA